GCGGCTGGTCGGGCGCCAGTTAATGAGCGTGAGTTTCCCGAGAAACTCTGCTGGTAACCGCTCAGTCCTAACCTGCTTGTGTTTGTCCGTGGAAATACTCTTGAGTAAGTAATTCATCCTGGAAGGAAGGAAGGAGGGAGGACTCGAGAACTTACTCTCTTGGTTTAGGAAGGGGCTATACACTGATGCTTACCCAAATGTCCCACTGCTGCGTGGCTGGCCATGCTCTGGTCAGGATGCCAGAGCCTTCAAGAAGCTCAAGTTTGTGGCAAGGTGTCTGTCTGCCTTTGTGTTCCTTGGGGTCTCCCAGAGTCTGCTGGTGTGGCAGGGAAAATACTCTGCTGATTTACAGGACCTGAAAAATAGCTGCTGGTACATGTGCACCAACTCTGTGGCTGTTACTGGCCCTTAACTCAGCCGGCGGCTCACTGGTAACAGGTGATGTGGAAGGCTGCAGCTTGGTCATATGCTGTAGTCCTAGGGGTTGTGATGCTTAAGCTCAAAAGTTCAATCTTTAGTTTTTAACTCTGATTAAAGTGCCTTCTTGCAGCTGAAGCCCCTCATAAGTTTGTGGCAGTGCTTGAGCACTTTTGTTAACTTGCTGCACCTGCAGCTGCTCCTTGCCAGAACTGAATGTGGAGCAGACCCTGCACTTGCCAGCCCCATCAGAACCGAGCAACACTCTCATCTCATTCTCCTCAGTGGTAGGCACTGACAAGGCTGCTCCCCTGATTCCTAACTTTCACTACACCTCACTCCTTTGTGAAGAGTCTGCTGCCCCAGGACAGCAGCAAATGGTACTTTTGAGGCACTGGTTGTAGCTGGTGGCTTTTCTTCTGAACTTATATATTTGGTGTCTGTTAGGCAAGGAGAGTGATTTTTCTTTACTAAAACAAGTGCTGTTTTCTTCCTGAGTTACCCTCCCACAGCATTACTGTGTGCTCTGCTTCAGGGTGCTGCTGTTATCAAGCACTTCTCTCGCTCTGAAAACATCATCCCTTCATCTGCAAAAGATGAAGCGCCCAGCTGCACGGTCAAGGCTGCATCGAAGCAAGGGTTTAGTATCCTCACAGATTACTCCGAGAAAGAAAACTACAGCTGCCAAGTGTCTGAACTGCTGGAATCAAGTCAGTGTGAACTGGATACTAGTGCAGTGACATCCAGTATGCGCCTACTGCTGGATCTGAGTTCAGGTAACTCTTGTTACTACTCAGATGGTATCCATAGCACAACTACATGTAGGGTGGTTATGAATTGTGATGCTGGTAAGCTAGCCAAGTAGCTTATATTACAATAAATAACACTTTCAGATAACTTGGTTTGTGTCTACATGAGGCACACCACTTCTGAGGTAAAAATAGCAGGAGAAGGTGAAGAGGTTAATTAGACAAATCTCTTGCTGTTTCCTATTGCCTGTTAGGGTCTCCTATGGTAGTGGACACATCCTTGCAGTCCCAGCCTGAGGATCACAGGGAAGATGCTGTAACTCTGGCTGTGGAAGAGTATGCAGAGGACATTTATCAGTACCTCCGAGAGGCTGAAGTGAGTGGCTTATAAGAAGTTTATAGGTATTTATGGTCTCTGTGGTGGGCTGCAATATTTTAGAGATGTATGCTTGCTCCAGGATAACCCAAGGCTGCCACTGAACTACAAAAGAGAGAATGCAAGTAGTCCAAGTGATCTCTGAAGGCGGCATATAGACAGTGATAAGATCTTTTGTGATTACTGTATCCCTGAAATTTCCTGTGGGTGGAGAATCTCTTGACTCTTTGGGATAAATAATTCTTGAAAATGGGACTAGAATGCTGCAAAAATACTAAAGCAGTTCAGTGTGATCTCACTGACAGCTCTCTTGCAATAGTAGTACTTTCTCCTACCTTTGTGTCAGAGCAGTGAAGTGCAGTCTCCTAATAGGAAGAAGGTGAAAAATGTGATTTGTTTGGTTTTGGGTCTTCCTGAGTGACTTACAATTGTTTGATGGCAAAGGCAGTCCTGAGTCCAGCAAATCTTTTACTATGCTGCTGCTAACACAGTAGCTTCTATCTCTTCAGTGTAGAAATATTGCTTTCTAGAGATGCTACTAGCTGCTAATTAATGCAACTAGCACTATAGCTGTAGTTAGTAGTAATAGTTAACAGTGGAACAACTCCTGTACCTTTTGGTGTAAATATAAAGAACATTAATCAGCTCAGCCATCAATGGCTCTCTTCTGGGTAAGCATTCTGATTTTTCAACTCTTTCCAAACAGATAAGATTCAGGCCCAAGCCCCACTACATGAAGAAACAGCCAGATATCACAACAGGAATGCGTGCTATCTTGGTAGACTGGCTGGTGGAAGTAGGAGAAGAGTATAAGCTTCGGACAGAGACTTTGTACTTGGCAGTGAACTTCCTGGACAGGTTTCTTTCCTGCATGTGTGTTCTCAGAGGGAAGCTGCAGCTTGTAGGAACAGCTGCAATTCTTGTGGCTGCGTAAGTGTTTCATCTTCTGATTTCTTGGTGAGCTAAAACTAATTTTTGGACATAGTCTTGTAGTTGAATTTGAAGGAAAGATGCTTCTGGTAGTAGGTAGCTTTTCATGATGTCTCAAGATTAGTAACTTTTGCCTACTTTGGCAGTAGCAAAATTAAACATTTTAATGTTTGTGAGGAGCTCCAGTGGGGGGACCTTGTAACCATAACAGCAGGAGTGAAAACATACTGTGTTAGGCTGCTAGCCTATAAGGCTGTAGTAGATTCACAGTCGCAATCTGTAATTAGCATTCAACTGCTTTAAGTAGATAGGGTACACAACATAGCTTAGGAGTCCATGAGGTTTTGTCTGGAGTGCATTGTGTTACTGAGACTTTCCCACTGAAAGCTTGCTGTTACTCACATTGTTAGTTCTCGAGTGTGTTTTTATCTAGGCTGATGACTTGGAGTTCCTTTAAGCATATTTGTCCAAATTTGAAACTAACTTGTTAGCTAGCCTGGAGGAGCTATTAAAAGTAGAGCTCTGCACAAGTCTTACAAACATCGTATGCTCATCCTGACATGATAAGCAGGAAGCTCATGTTCAGCAGAAAGCTTTCTCTTTACTATGACTTTTGAGCTGACACATGTGGCTGCTATATGCCTTTTGCAGGAAGTATGAAGAGATCTACCCACCAGAAGTGGATGAATTTGTCTATATAACAGATGATACCTACACAAAGAAGCAGCTGCTAAGAATGGAACAGCTGCTTCTCAAAGTGCTGGGTTTTAGCCTAACAGCACCAACCATCAACCAATTCCTCCTCCAGTATATTCAGAGGCATGAAGTCTGTATGAGGACAGAGAACTTAGCAAGGGTATGAGCTATCTGCGTTTTGGAACTGGGTGGGGAGGTGGTCCTAAAAGGAGAAGTGCTTGCCTGTCATGAAGCTGTCTCAGCAGACAGGTTCTGCTACTATACTAGTCTTAAAGATACTCTGCAACAGGCCTAAAGCTGGATGTTTTGTAGCCTGTGGATTGTGTGTTGAGACATTTGGATAAATGTCTCATGGAAACCCTAGGTTTGGCCTACCTGCCTGGTTAGGAATAATTCACTGAGTAGGCAGTTAGGGGTTAGAAATCTGGTTGTGTTTTCAACAGTGCCTGCGTAGCAATTCTGTCTTGGATTTGGTGCTACTGCAGGTTGCTACACAATGACAGAATATGCCTGCGTAGCTGCGTAGGCAACCCTGCTTAGAAACAGCAAGCTTACAATAAAACACCTGACCTGCTGCTTCTCTGTAAAGGGTATAGGATTATACAATGACTTTACTCCAGCAGAGCCCAAATTGTGTTTAGAGCTGTCCATTTACCCCTGATTGCCAAGTGGGGTCCACCTATGTAAACAAGAGCCATGGGGGATGTCAAGAGTATGTCTTAGATATTCAGAAAATTCATGTTCTTCAAAAATAACAATCTATAAAATTATGTCAGAGCTGATGATGGGATGAGGACTTCAGATTATAGTGTATCTTTTTTAGGGTTTGCCAAAATATAATCTTTCTGACTCCCCTGAAATATGCTGGAAGTTATTCTGTTAGATTAGCAGGACTAGAATGCTAATTTTCCTCCCTCACTAGACATGTAACTCCTGCTTTTTTACATGATACTTAGACCACTGACAAACTTTAGTGCTTGCTGTATTGGACTGATTGTAGCAGCTAGACTCATTCTTTTTGATAAATTGTGTGTTTGTTGTTCAGTATCTTGCAGAGCTGAGCCTTCTTCAAGCTGATCCTTTTCTGAAGTACCTTCCTTCACAAATTGCTGCAGCAGCCTACTGTCTAGCAAACTATACAGTGAACAGATATTTCTGGGTAAGAACAACTGAATGTTAATGACTAACTCAAGCATTTTGTGTTATTGTTAGAACTGAGCTGAGGAGTATCACCTTCAAAGTATGTTGTCATAAAGGCTGAAACACTGGGATGACTAGCTGCTCCTGAGTTAATGGGACAACCTGATAAATAAATGTCAAGTAAACCTGAAATATCATTCCTCTCAGATGGGAGGGACTTTGCTGCCTTGCTCATTTACAGCAAGTCTGTACCTAAGGCCTTGCAAATCTCCAAAACTCCTTCTGCAGATACAACTTAGGAGCTTTCTGAGATGTAGAGAAGAACTGAATGTCTACTTAAGTGATTGCACTGAGTGGCTGCTTTAATGCAAGCCCTGATATGCCTTCCAGCTGTGTGTTGGAGGAATAGTTTTAGTAGAGAGCAGGATCCAGAGGAGAGATGTAATGGATGCCACACGCTTAGAGCAGAAGGAGCTTGTCAGATCTCATGGCACCAAGGAAGACCTAGAGTGAAACTGATGGCAGAATACACTTGAATCTTCATGACTAAAGAGTGGCTGCTTTAATGCAAGCCCTGATATGCCTTCCAGCTGTGTGTTGGAGGAATAGTTTTAGTAGAGAGCAGGATCCAGAGGAGAGATGTAATGGATGCCACACGCTTAGAGCAGAAGGAGCTTGTCAGATCTCATGGCACCAAGGAAGACCTAGAGTGAAACTGATGGCAGAATACACTTGAATCTTCATGACTAAAGAGAATGAGCATAGGGAAAATGGTTTCTGCTTCCATAGGAAGTGTATCTTCTAGATGACTGTTGACCTACAATAGAGTAACACATTTTATTTTTTTCTTTTCTGACCAGCCGGAAACACTTGATGCATTCACTGGATATTCCTTAAATGAAATAGTGCCTTGCCTGACTGATCTGCATAAAACATGCCTTGATGTTTCCCATTCCCAGCTGCAAGCCATTAAGCAGAAATACAAGCACGCAAAGTAAGTAGCCAGTAAGCCAGTGTTCTGTAACTTGAAGGCTATAAAAGCATGAGAAGAGGATTCTGGTTTAGCAGCTTGGGCTGTGGCTGCTGTAGCTTACAAAGTTCTTGTCGTCATAAGCTTCTAAGCTCTGTTGGTCTCTTGAGGGGAAAACCTTTCTGACTGGCAAAGTAATTCATCCATAAGTACACAGATGCACTGGATTCTTCTTTTCTCCAGTGTATTGCACAAGCAGGTTTTATCTTTAGATTTGTCAGCTAAACCAATATCTGTAGTGACTGCATTTCTATTCCAGGTACCTGCAGGTGTCTCTTCTGGACCTCCCAGCAGTTCTTCCTCTGCAGTAGAGGCTGGATCCTGGACTTTAAGATGACTTTGTCCAAGCCAACAAAGATGGTCTAACATTCATTAAACACTGCAGGTCGTGTGTGTAACCATACTGATAAGAATGGTTTTTAGCTAATATATTTTAATGAGATGCCTTTTTTTTTAAAGCATGTTAGACTATAGCTCTTAACATAACTGGCAGCACTTTTAATAAATGTCTTATTACGCAATACTTCTGTGACTCTTCTGACTCCAGTTAATAACTGCAGTAACAGTGAATGCAATGAATCGTGGTGTGGGTTGGGTTGGGTTTTTTTGGGGTTTGTTTTGTGTTGGTGGATTTTGAGGGGGTGGGAGGGTTGTTGGTTTGTTTGTTGATTTGGTTTTTTTTTCCCCGCAATATTACTGTAAGCAGGGCTTATAAGCTAGCTGGAGAGGGTAAAGCATAGCTTGCACCAACACAACTTGACATCTCTATAGACACAGGTGATTTGCTGCAGTCTATCTGTTTCTTCTTCTTCTATGAGACAAGATCATGTCACCATGAACAGAAGCTATTTTCAGTAACTTGTTTACCATATCAAACAAAAAACATCCACATGTGATTGGTTTGTGTACTCTGTACATGTTTGTAGATTAAGAGAGCAGTGCTAAAAGCTATGAGGTACTGGAACAGTGGAGTTGAGCTAGATAGCTCCTGATTCATACTTGTGGTATGGTGTAGTCTCACAGCACAGCTGTCTGAGATGACCTTTCCTGCCACTAGAGCACTGCAGAACATGGGTGAAGCAAGGGTGATGGGACAGAACTATTAACTATCTTAGTAGTTTCTCTTTTTTTTTTTTTTTTTTAAGAAGCACTACCTAACAGATAACTGACAGAGGGACACATAGTGTAGCAGCCCAGGCTATCCTGTGCGCTCTTAAACACAAACGCTGGTCAAAGTAGTTAAAAATCAGTTGTCATATTAGTCAAGATATAGAGAACTATAATCCATTCATCTAAATGGCGAGGTAAGTCTGAGGCATTCTCTTCCTGTGAGAGTTTTAAACTTTCAGTGCTTACTGCTTCCTAAGAGAGCCATCTGTACAGTGCATTATACATTACCAAGCAAGAATAGACTTAACACTTGACATAAGCATGCAAGTCAGCAGACATACTAAGTACTAGTTAACAAGCCTCTTACTTTAATTTTCAAACCTGATTACACTGGTGTGTGTCATGAGGCTCTTCTTAGCCTCAGGGGTTTCACTTCCCTTAATGTGTGTAAGACTTTCTTCCCCTTGATTCCTCCCTGTGCAGGCTGGTGAATCCTCCCAGTGATGCCAACACTTTCTCTAAAGTGGAGGGTAGTAGTCATGACTGATCTACTTGACTCAAAGTAAAGTCAAGTAAAATAATCTGTCTTGATATTTGCTGATAATGAAAGACTATGCTTGTGTCTCTGGTATCTACTTTCTGGTGGGGGCCTAGATCCATGGATTGTGTCTATGTAATGAATTTCATGGCTGTGGATGTAGGTCTTAAATGTAGGCTGCAAACTTCACTCATGCCTGCCACCAACTTCTTTAAAGTAGGTGTCTCAATACAAAGCTCTGAGCCAGTGGTGCCTAATTGCGATTGACAGTGGTGATTTTCTCGATTGCCTGTTTCACAAGAAAATAGTGAACGTGCTGAGCTAGAATCTTGATCTACCGGTCTTGTGTGCCAAGTTTTTTGTGGTGTTTCAGACTGAACATAAGGTGTCCTGAAATCCTGTGTTAATAAGGCTTACTCTACTTGTAAGAGTGCTTACTGAACCTCACTTACTGTAGGGTTGAGTATTTTTGAAGCAGTAATTAATGTCTCAAGTGCAGGACTGTTTTTGTAGTGTTAGATCACTTTGAAAGTGTCTGCATGATCTTGCCACAATAGAAATGGGGATGAGTTTTGATCTTAGGAACAGTCTATGACCACAGTCATGTCTCATGTCTCTGGACCAACAGATTTGGTGCATCTAAAAGTCTCAGGCATCTGGGTCTGAGTTTACTAACTATTGTAACATGTGGAGTCATCCTAGAAGCCAAACTCGTATTCTGTTTTACTTATAGCTGCACAGATGCATTTAACATTCTCAGAGCTTCAGTTGTCTAGTATACAAATGTGCCTGGGTTTTGTTGGTTTTGGGTTTTTTTTTAAAAGCTATAATATCTGAAGACTGTGCTCATCTGCTTTCTTGTTTTGTAGTTATTTTTCAACTCAGCTTGTGACCTTAAATATTCTCTTAGTCCAAAGGCTAAAAAGGGAAAATGAAAATAAGGTAAGTAGTTAAGATGTAGAATCACATAATACTGCAGTGTGAATGCTACTAACAAGTTTGTGCAAGGAGGATTAAATTTTGAGACGCAAGAAACTGATCTTTAAGTGCTCTTATATGAGGTCTGTAAATGGCATTTGAATGTTCCTGTTTTATTCTTGCTTCCTTTTGTTCATTTCTCTTATTCCTCTTGTATGAGTGAACCTTGACTCCTCCAAGGTGAAAACTGGGTACTATCTCCTATATCATTCAATGTGAATCATCACACTTAACTCTGGCCTACCCTTCATGTGGGATGTTCTCTGCAGATAATAGCTGAGATCAAGGGGTAAGAGATGCTCCAACTGAGCATAATGTGGTAATGAAGGTAAAAATAATGCTGGTTTTAATAAGCTAATGTGCTTAAATGCAGATGCAGAAACACTTCTGAGTACTAAAAGATGTGCTGAATATCAAGTATCTAGGAATATGGATTTATAAGGAGATGAAAGCAACCAAAAAGGAAGCTTTACATTTTCATTGATATAGTGCCTATGCTATACAGAGAAACAAAGAGATACAGAACTCACAGCCTTGTGAGATGTTTGAAACAGAACAAGACTTTTAAGAGATACATATCCTGGCAAAGAAATACAAGACAATCACCATTAAAGATTACACAGAGGTGGTCTCAATTCTTGACCATTCTGCTTAGTGACCACTAATAAGAGCATGGTTTTTTGTTCAGGAAGTATTTAAACTGTTGCAGTTTTGGAAATGTCAAGGCTGATCATGCTCAGCTCTGCTGTGATGATCAGTCTGAATGTCAGCATATGTATTTCAAAGGCTGAGTATTGCCTTCTATGCAGGTCACGGTCTCTTCTATTGGTGAACATGTACTGGGACAATAAACCAGGAGTGAAACTTATGGTGAGACTGCAGGCTGAGCACATTCAAGGACATTTTGAGGGTTCAGTCATTCAATACTCTTAGTGGAGTAGGCTGGAATTGAGATGTGTTGAGGATTTGAACTTTCACCCATAATGTTCAATTCAAGGGGCCTTTAATGTTGGTATTCAAAGAAAAACCTCCCTAATCTTTTTCTAGAAGTTTCCATATTATCATGTCATGACTTTCAAGAGACCCTAATACACTGTGGTTGTATGATCTTGTTTCTACTGTGTTTAGTTATTTTTTAAACCAATAATTTCTAACATTAAATGTTGTACATGTCTCTGAAGTCCTGAGAAAACTGTTCTTTATAACTGGGGATGTATTGTGGATCCATTGTTCTCTTAAGATGAAAAAGGATAGGCAGAACCCAGTGCTTTATGGGAGGGTACTGATTTAAGAACTATAGTATGCCTTTGTTTAAATCTTCTCTGGAGTGAGCTAAGGATGTCTGAGAGGTAACTGGGTAGTTAGAAAGAATGGTTTAACTATATTCAGGGAAGTTAAACTGTTAATTCATGACTGAAGGGTGTCTGCCTTGCTGAGAAATCTGCCTTGCTGTGTGGTTAGTCTGTATGCATACCTGCTTGTTGTCAATCCTACAAATGACTCAAATTGGCTCTGATTGCTGAGGTTGGTACTTATTTTAGCCAGTGACCTTGAAGTAGCTTGTGGGGCGGCTTTTAAGGATGAGAAACAAGCCAGCTTACATCAGTGACTGCTTCCTGGGATTAAGCTTTTTATCTTTCAATTTTCCTCAGCACCTGCTTCCCCAGAGCAAGATCATCTTTTTGTATACTGGAGAGCTGTGCAGACTCTGCCAGGCAGACATGAACTGAAGGGGAGATACAGACCTACCTTAGCTATCCTACCACCCAGATGTTCTAGAGCTGTCAAGCTCAGTGTTTATGAAGTTTGTTAGATCCTTTACTGGTTAGAGTGGATGTGTGTATTTTCCCATAACATCAGACAAGAGTTGTAACGAATGCTTATTTTTAGCTGTTACCTGTTTCATAGTTCTTCTCTTTTATGGTAAGCTTAGACTTTCTTTTGGATGCTTGTTCAGATTGCATCTACTTAATAGAAAAAAACAAACCACAAAGCTTTGCATGATGAGATGCCCATAATGAACATTCCTGATAACACGTTTATGGAGGATGGGCACTTTATTTGATGTTCCTGCAGAGATGTAGAGAAACAGTGGTTTAGGAAGCCTGTGTGATAAGCAACTAATATAATCAGCCACAGCTTTTGTGTGCTCCCTGTGGTTTGTTACTGTAGATGGCAGCCGTGCAAATGTTGAAGAGAATTAGCACAGACAAACCTACAGGACAGCCTAGAGAAAATACTGAGTATATGACACAGTTAGTCCTAAAGTACATGCCTACCCACCTCAAACTAACTTGTCTCTAAGCTAAAACAAGAAAGACCAGGAAGTCCTGGCCCTAATCCTCCTGATGATGCCAAAATTATGGCTCTGTCCTGGAGTTCTCTACAGTGCTTGTCTCATTTGGCTGTGCTGGTACTGAAAAATAATTGTGGACTGAGCAAGGGCTGGTTCCTGGCCAAATGTCTGTCTCCATTTGGCTTATTTCCATGATGCTTAGGGCTAGGTTGCAGCTGTGGCTCTTTTTTTTTTTTTTTTTTTTTTAAGTAGATTTGTCTTGGAAAGAGCTTGTTAGAGCAGGGCAAAATAGTCTGTGTAAGCTAACAGGCTCTGTGGGTGTCTGCTCAGAGTTCATGCTTGCTGTCTGCCCCTCTTTTGTCTTAGCCATGTCTCTGGTATGACCAAGTGTCCCTGTCATTAATACCAGTAAATACCTAGTTAAACCATAAGACCGGTCCTCAGTACTTGTTTTTCAGATGTTCAGACCCTCTTTATTTGAACACAAGAACATTACTGGAGCCAAGTGCTAAAGGAACAGGCTCATGATGAAGCACTGAATTCTGGCAAGAAAGTGTCTTCTCCCTCCACCATCTGCAGCCAAGCTGCCTTTTCT